AGTTAATGAAGGTCCCAAAGCTTTACTCCATCCATGTCAGTAAGGGCAACTCTACTTTGAGGAGGTAACTTTTCCCCACTTGTATTTTGAGTGCCTTCCAACCTGAGGGGCTCATCTTCTGGCCTTATATTCAGACAACGTTCTTTCGCTATTCATACAGTTTTCAATGACCAATCTCACTGAAGTGGACTTCCTATTTCTTCTCCCTAGTCCGTTCTTAAGGAGCTCTGGTAGCGTAGTGGTTACGAGTCAGGCTGCTAACCTCAAGGTCAGCAGTTCGAAACTACCAGCCCTTTTGTGGGAGAAAGATGAGGCTTTCTGCTCCCGTAGAGATTTACAACCTGAGAAACCCTATGCAGGGTCGCTATGAGTCAGAACCAACTGCATGGCACACAGCCACCACCACCGGTCTGCTCTTAATCTGAAAGCTCCCCTGAGACCCTGTCCACCATGGGTGGTCCTACTGGTATTTGAAACACTGGTGGCACAGCTTCCAGCATCGCATCAACGCACAAGCCATCACCATAGAACACACCAACAGATGAGGGGGGATAGTAATTAATAAAGAGCAGCTTTCTTTCTTTTTTTAAAAACTTTTGATTGTGAATTGAGTAAAGGTTTATGGAACAGATCATCAATCTCACATTGAACAAGTTATACACTTCATGTCCTTACAGTGATTGCAATCCCCTCCATGTACCATCAGTTCACAATCCCCTCCATGTACCATCAGTTCACAATCCCCTCCATGTACCATCAGTTCACAGTGTTTACCTCTAGTCACTTTATTTTTTCCCCTACTTCCCTACCCCCTTCCCCCGCCCCAACCATCATAGAATGTTTCATTTAGCAAGAAAATCTTCTCTTAACTTTGTACAAGGGGTCTCATGCTGTTCTTTTGTGATTGACTAATTTCACTCAGGAGTCCTGGTGTGGCGCTGCAAAATAATGTGCTGGACTGCAAGGTGGGTTTGAAACTCAAGGTTGGCAGTTCAAACTCAGAAACCCTATACAGGGTTGCTATGAGTTGGCAATTAATAACAAGAACAGTGTCACGCAGCATAATGTCCTACAGTTTTATCCATGTTGTGAGGTGTTTCGTAGATTCGGCATTATTCTTCAGCATTATGTAGCCTTCCATTGTGTATAGGAACTAAAGTTTGTTTATCCATTCTTCTATTGATGGACACTTAGGCTGTCTCCATCTCTTGGCTATTGTGAATAGTGCCTCAGTGAACATGGTGTGCGTAGATCTAATCATGTCACAGCAATAATGAGCAGCTTTCACTGAGTGTTGATTGTATATGTTAGACTTTATGCTACGTATGTTTGCCAGTAGTGTCTCTTGATATGCCGATTTTCCAGATGTAAAAACAGAGGCTCAGAACAGTTAAGCAACTTTCCCAAGGTCACAATTTTCCTATATGGTAGAGGTTGGATTTGAACCCTTGTCTCACCAAACCCAAACCGTGCTCTAATGTCTTCAGAAGCCAGTTAGAGCTCATACTTGATTAAACAGGATTATTTTATAATCACATGCCCTAGTCAAAGCTTCATCTACCCTAGAACATATTGGCTGTTGTTGTTGTTAAGTACTATGGAGTCAGTTCCAACACATAGTGATCTTGCACTCATAATGATCCTGCACATGGTTTCCGAGGCTGTAAATCTTTATGGGAGAAGAAAACCTCATCTTTCTCCCATGGAACAGCTGGTAGTTTCGAACTGTTGACCTTTTTGTAGCAGCCCAATTTGTAACCACTACACTACCAGAGCTCCTTAGTCTCCCCATTTTCAAAGTAAAGAGCTAAGGCCCAGAGAAGGAAAGTGGCTAGGATGGAGTGAGGCTGAGAGTCAATCCCAGAAGTCAGAATTTATGTGGGAAATCCCCAATGCCAGGGTCAGGCATTACTACACCCCACCCACATCCATCAAGTGTCCCAGGAAAGCAGAAGTATGTCTTCTTCCCTTTCCAGGTCTCACTTCCTACTGTACGTAGGCCAGGCCTGAAGGGTCTGGGTGGGAGGGTCACAGCCTCCCAGGAAAATGAGAAGTGGGAATGGGCAAGGGGCAATGATTGTTTTTACCCATCTCCTCTCTGTCCCAGCAGAGGTTCCCCTTTCTGTCTGTCACTGTAGGTCAGAGAGCAGGGATGGAGACAACCTCAGCCCACTCCTGCTACCCATTCTCGGACTCCTCCCAAAGTCTCATGGAGTGATGTCTCCCTCATGGGGGCTGTGTGCCTTGGGGCAAGCTGCTAAACCTCTCTGAGCCTCAGTTTCCTCCATCTGTAAAATGGGGATGAAAAAAATTAATCAACCCCATAGAGTGGTGGTGAAAAGTGAATGAGTAAATTCAGGAATGTACTTGGTGTCAGGCTGTGCATATAGTTGGCACTCGAGAAATGCTAGCTATTAATATAATGCTGTGAAACCCAGTTTACCAGCATTGGGGGCTATTAAACCTCAAGCCCTGCCATGTAGAGACTCGCTGGTCCCCACTTTCTAGAGACAGAAACCAAGACTCAGAGAAGTTGAGATACTTACCCTAGGTTACACAGCAAATAGGTGGCCAAGCCAGGACTCAGACCCAAGGAATCTGACTTCAGAGCCCACATCCTTAAATAGTAAACTCCTTCCCAACACTGTATGGCGGTGGGGATGGGGATCTCCCAGGTGGGCTTGTTGGGAGCCTTCTGGATGTGTGGAGGTGCAGTTGGGGTCTCCTGGGTGAAGGTGAAGCCGTGGGCAGCAGCCCTTCTGAGCTTTGTGGCTCTAAACTGACCATGATGGCTAGTAGCTCCATGTGACAGGGTTGTGTCACATGGACAGTAACATACCCATGTGTCCCCAACCATGGCCTCTCCATCTTGATAATGCCATTCCTGAGGACAGGAAGGACAAGGCACAAGCCTGTATCCTTGTGCAGGTTTGTATGAAGTTTGACACTGTTGCCAGGCAACCTGACACACACACACACATAATGACATTCAATATGCTAAAGCACTCTTCTTAACACTGACATGCATCAATTCAATCAATCCTGTGAAGTCAGGAGCCACTGCTATGATCCCATTTTACAGATGAGGAAACTAAGGCATGCAACTAGGTGACTAAACCTGGGTTCCAACAGTGCATTCTTCAGCACTAAGTTAGTGGACAAACGAGCATTACTGCTATTATTGGTGTGCTCAAATGGATGAGTCTACCATCAGCAGAAGGAGCTCTGGTAGCGTAGTGGTTACAAATTCGGCTGCTAATTTCAAGGTCAGCAGTTCGAAACTACCAGCGGTTCCGCGGGAGAAAGATGAGGCGTTCTGCTCCCGTAAAGATTTACAGCCTCGGAAACCCTGTACGTGGTTGCTATGGGTCGGAATTGACTCAACAGCACTTAATAACAACAATGCCATCAGTAGAGCGAAGACTTTGGAGACAGAATCAGAGGCTTGGGCCACCCTTTTAACAGTGACAAGCTGGTGATTGTAGGCATGTGATTCCATCTTTCTGGACTTCTTTCTGTCTTTACCTGTATAATGGGAATAGCCACAGGTGCTAGCTCACAGGATTGACACAAGGCTCGAATGAGTTCAGATTTACAAAGGGCTTAGTGCAGTGGTCCATGGTTAACAGCTTTTTATTTTCCGTGTACAGTCAGACCATTTCACATGTGTATTCATCCAGGTACAAGGACTAGTGGCACTGTGGTTATGTGCTCTACTGCTAACTGAAAGGACAGCGGTTCAAACCCACCAACTACTCTACAGGAGAGAGTTATGCAGTGTGCTTGGAGTCCTGGTGGCACTGTGAGTGAGGCATTAGACTCCAAGGTCTGCAGTTCAAACCTACCAGCCGCTCCACAGCAGAAAAATGAGACTATCTGCTTCTAGGAAGGTTTATGGTCTCAGAAGCCCTAATGAGCCGTTCTATAAGGTTGCTGTGAGTCAGAATGAACCTAGGTTTGGGTTTAGATCTGTAAAGATTTACAGTTTTGGAAACCCTGTGGGGCAGTTCTACCGTATCCTATAGCGAGAGGGTGCTTTGAGTGGGAATTTGACTTGATTTTATTTAGTTTTTCAAATTCTTATCATTCTTATCCACCAACCAATTTCCAAGGAGTCCTGGTGTGGCGCTGTGGGTTAATGTGCCAGACTGCAAAGCCGTGTTGGTGGTTCAAGCTCACCAGCTGCTCCTCAAAAACCCTATACAAGGTCTCTATGGGTCGGAACCGACTCAACAGCACTTCACAACAGCAACAACAACCAACTTCCAAAGCAAGATATAGCATCACCCTCCTCCTGCCCCCTCAGGCTCTCTCTCTCTCATATATGTATATACACATATGCATATATGTATATGTATATATATGTATGTTGTTGTTGTTAAGTGCATTGAGTGCCATTGAGTGATTCCAACCCATAGCGACCCTGTATAGGGTTTCCAAGGAGCATCTGGTGAACTTGAGCCGCCAACCTTGCAGTTCAAACAGCTTTGCAGTCTGGTGCGTTAACCCACAGCGCCACCCCAGGACTCCAGATATATGTGTATATATATACATGGGACCTCACTGTGTATGCTTTTATTTATGGTCATCATTACCATCACCACAGTTCCTGCTATCACTGATGCTGACCACCTGCCCCACACTGTCCCACACATCTTCCAGCCTAACTACAGCACATCAAATCTACCCTGTTCGTCATTTGTTCCTCTAAGTCCCCATTTTCCAGAGAAGGAAACTGAGGCTCAGAGAGGGAGAGTCTTGACAGAGGTGGTTCTTAGAAATGAAGATGAAACCACATTTATGCAGCTGTGTGGTCTCCTCACTTTGCAAACTTCGTTTCCCAATTGGGAGCCAGGATACTTGCACGCACGCACACACACACACACACACACACACACATACTCTCTTGCAAAGTGGTGGAGTCACACATCGAGAGTAACGTGGCCACCTCATGTGATTGTGCAGCCCTGCTACCCTCATGTCCCCTCTGTTCTCCCCAGGCTGTGCTTTCAGACGATGGAGTGGGCATCTGGCTGGGAGGACCAGAGCCCCCGGAGGAGCCCCTCACCTTGCAAGCCTCCGTGCCACCACACCGACTTCGTGTGGGCAGCCTTCATCCTCACACCCCTTATCACATCCGGGTGGCATGTGCCAGCAGCCAGGGTCCCTCTCCCTGGACCCACTGGCTTTCTGTGGAGACCCCAGAGGGAGGTAAGAAAGGGTTGGGTGGGAGACGTGCTCGGTGCTCCACTGGACCATGTGCCCTGCTTCCCACAGCATCTCCTCTCACCCATTTTCCTCATGTGGTCTCTGTCTCCTTCCTGTCTTGTCCCTGAGCCCACAACACTGGCCCCTGGCATCTCTCCCGGCCTCTCCCCTCTGCTTCCGCTCATGGGAGCCATGCGTGAGTGTGCCATGCACATGTCTTTTGCACACTGCCCCCTTCTTCCTGGGAACTTGGAAAAGGGTCAAGAAGAGGTGAGGTACCAGTTTCCCCTCTTCCCTGTCCTCCAGTGCCCTTGGGCCCTCCCGAGAACGTTAGCGCAGTGCTGAATGGGAGCCAGGCCCTCGTCAGTTGGCAGGAGCCAAGGGCACCCCTGCAGGGCACCCTATTAGGGTACCGGCTGGCATATCGAGGCCAGGACACCCCTGAGGTGAGTGCTGCTGGCTGGGTTGGGGTGGAGAGACTGTGGGAGATGGGAAATGGGGAAGAGAAGTTGGCAGGGCAGCCTCAGGCTGAGTTATCACCCACAAGCACACTAATGCCCAAGAGAGTACGATCTGGGGAGATTTGCCGGGGTCCAGGGGAGAGATTAGGGTGTGTCTACTTATGATCCATTACAAAAGCATTTGTTCAGTAGATTTATACATAAGGGAGCTTCAAAAAGTTCACGGAAATTTTAATTTAAAGCTAATAGATTTTTTTCTGCAAACTTTTTGAAGCCTTCTCGTATTTGGAAAAGGGTCCTGGTGACGCAGTAGTTTAGTTTGCTCAGTGCTAACCAAAAGATCAGTGGTTTGAACCCACCAGTGGCTCCACAGGAGAAGAGACTTGGCAATCTGCTCCTGGAAGGATTTTAGGAAACCCTAAAGGGTAGTTCTACTGTGTCATACAGGGTTTCTATGAATGGGAATCTACTTGATTGGCACACAACAATGTCTATTTGGAGTCTCTGGGTGGTACAAATAAAGTGGTTGGCTGCTAACCAAAAGGCTGGTAGTTCAAGTCCACCCAGAAGTAACTCAGAAGAAAAGCCAGGCTGTCTACCTCTGAAAAACCCTCCATTGGAAGCCCCATAGAGCACAGTTCTACTATGGGGTCACTATAAGTTAGAATCAACTTAATGGCAACTGGTTGTTGTTGTTGTTGTTAAGTGCCGCCATCGAGTCGGTTCCAACCCACTGAGGGTTGTGGCTGGTGAGCTTGAACTGCAACGGGTTGTTGTGTTGTTGTTGTGAAGTGCCATCAAGTCGACCCATAGCGACCCTGTCTAGGGTTTCCGAGGAGCAGCTGGTGAGCTTGAACCATCGACCTTGCAGTTCAAACTGCTTTGCAGTCCAGCGCATTAACCCACAGCGCCACACTAGGACTCCCTTTTTGATCCGACCCATAGCCACCCTATATAGGGTTTCTCAGGAGTGGCTAGTGAGCTTGAACTGCAACTGGTTAGACGTGTATATTTACAGTGTTGGTTTTGTAGCAGCTTGAAGAAAGGGTGTGTTTTCCTAATTTGCACAAAGGTACTGTCTGGACTAGTAGCAACCCTGAGGGTGGGGTGATAAGGGAGATAAAGGAATGGAGCAACGAAGGCAGAAAGTTACACAAGTGTTTCTTGAGTGGCACGGCATGCCAAGCACTATTCTGAGAATTGGAGCCACAGCAATGAATGAAACAGAGAAAGGCTCTGCCCATGTGGAGCTGATATTTGAGTGGGCGTGGGGATGGTGAAATGCAGAGGAAGACATAGGGGTGGGGGCTGATCATTGAGAAGAGGATGTGAAGAAAGAGATGGGGAGTTGAGGCAGAGGGTGAAGGCTCTAGAGTTAGGAGTCTGGGGTTCTTCTACCCTGATGCCACTTCTGGACCTCATAGGTACTCATGGATGTGGGACTAAAGCAAGAGGTGATCCTGGAGCTGCGTGGGGAAGGGACTGTACCCAATCTGATGGTGTCTGTGGCTGCCTACACTGCTGCTGGTGATGGGCCCTGGAGCCCCCAGGTGCCACTGGAGCCCTGGCGCCCAGGTAACTCCAAAGCCATTGTCAGTCCCCTTCAACTTATCCCCCAGGAACCTTGTCTCTCCTGAATGCCACCAACTTATTCCCTGTACCTTTTAGGTGTACCCCAGCTTAGCTTCTGTTTCTACCCTGGACCTGACTGAGCCTACTTCACTGAACCCTCATCTGTGTCCCCAGTCTTTTCCCCTCTGAGCATGTCTCTCCTCTGTCCTTTCTCCTCACAGGGCAAGGACAGCCAATCCACAAGCTGGGTAAGGGCCTTTGCACCCCCTTTCCTTCCTCCCTTCCCTCAACACTAGGGCAGGCCTCGTCACCACACATGAACTCCTTATATGCCTTACTTGGTTCTCAAATGTTTGCTCTAAACCTCTATTCCTTTGGATTTCTGGGGTCTTTGACAGAGGTGCCTAGAAAGACCCAGCATATGGTTGGGTATATAAATGCATGTGTGTATGGATGGATGAATGTATGGATGGATGGATGAATGGATGGATGTATAGATAGATGAGTGGGTGGATGTATGTATGGATAGATGGGTGGGTGGATGGATAGATGCATGGATAGATGGGTGGGTGGATGGATAGATAGGCGGATGGATGAATGGCTGCATGGATAGATGGGTGGATGTATGGGTAGATGGGGGTGGATGGATGGATGGATAGGTGTATGGATAAATGGGTAAATAGATGGATAAATGGATGGATGGATGGATAGATGGGTAGATGAATGGATAAATAGATGGATGAGTAGATGGATGGATGGATGGATGGATGGATGGATGGATGGATGGATGGATGGTTGGTATCCTCACCCACACGGTCATCCCTCTCAAATATTTTTCCAATTATTCTCAAACATTCCTCATACTTTTATCCAAATGTCCTAGCACTGTCATGACCAATTCCTGATAAATCCATACACTATTTTTAAACAATTCCTCACAGCCTTCCCTCATTTCTTTGTGTACCTTTTCCACTCTCATCCCACGCTCTTTTCACATCCATCCCATTATAATAATCCCTCATTCCTCACACATGCCTTCCAACCCCATTGCACATCCACACTTCTCTTTCCCTGATTCACAAACTCTGCACTTTTTACACACTTATGGAACATTCCACATTAACAAATACATCGCCCAATTTTCATTCGACATTAGTCACACCCTACTACTTTCCTTTCACACTTATCCCACACTCTTTAAACATTATTTCCTGGCCCCTTCCCAGTCCTCATCCATTCCAGTCTCTTCACGCTCTTAAGCCAAACTCCCTATACACTCAGCACATTTATTGTTGTTAAATGCCTCCAGTCAGTTTTGACTCATAGCCACCCTGTATGCAGTTTCCAAGTCTGTGAGTCTTTGCAGGAGCAGAAAGATCCCTCTGTCTCCCATGGAGCAGTGGTGGTGGTGGTGTGCCATGGAGTCAGTTCCAGCTCATAGTGACCCTGTACAGGGTTTCTGAGACTGTTGATCTTTATGGGAGCCAAAAGTGTCATCTTTCTCCCAAGGAACAGCTGGTAGTTTCTAACTGCTGACCTTGAGGTTAACAGTCTGACTCATAACCACTACACGACCAGAGCTCCTTCATGGAGCAGTAGGTGAACTCAAATAGTAGACTTTGTGGTTCACAGTCCAATGTTTATCCTATATCCATTCTTTATCCCCTACACACCCACTCCCACCCCATGTTGCACACCATTTCCATTCATCCCATACTTTGCACACACACATGTCCACTTCACACTCACTCCTCTCACATCAGTTGCTGCATCATAAATTTCGCTCCTTTTTATGTAAAGCCCCTTGACTGTGCCTCTCAAACTATCCCAGACTCATCCAGGTCTACCCCATGTTCTGTGTACACTCACTACATCCCTTCGCAGACTTATTTCACTCTCGTTCCGTGCTACAGGAAAACCCTTCCATAGTCACTGCACACTAACCAAAGACATCCTTTCTTCATTTCTCCCACCAGTTTCACACCTCGCATATACCTCATGCTTCCATCTTATGCCGCATGCATTTCCCTAACCTGTTTTCCACACCTAGCCCACCCTCCTCGCACAATCATGACACACCACACACACAGCTGTAATGTGTGAAACCTACTCATTCTGCTGTCGTAACTCCTTCCAGAGTCATAAGTCATCCCACACATCTCTTGTCCCATTCCACACTGCTTCCACACTCACTGCACACTCCTCAAATGTCCACCCATGCTTAACTCATCCACTCTGTACATTTCACACTCCTTCACTTTCACGCACGCTTATATTACATTCACTGGATACGCCGCTCAACCAAACCCACAACCCATCAAATATGTCCACACCTTTCCCATCCCTCTTGCCCCTCCAACATCACCCCCGCCTTGGGTCTCAGGGACCTGGATCTGGGACCTCAGCCATGACCTGTCCCCAATGCCCCCTGACAGTGAGCGAACCCCCAGCCCCTGCCTTCTCATGGCCCTGGTGGTATGTACTGCTGGGAGCAGTTGTGGCTGTTGCCTGTGTCCTCATCTTGGCACTGTTCCTCATCCACCACCGGAAGAAGGAGACCCGCTACGGGTGAGTTGGAACCGTGTGGGGTGATTAATGTGGACTAGGATGAAGAGGTAGACCAGTGAGGATGGTGGTACAGGAGAGATGGCCAAGAGTCCCAAGGAGGGCAAGGCCTGGAGAATGAATGGAAGGTTAGAGTCTAAGACATGTTCCACCAATGTCAGAAGAGAGAGCAAGCTGGGCTTAGGGTTGGAATGGTGCTCAATTTCACTGCTAGTGGAAAGAAAAAGGGGTTTACATGCTTTTCCCCCACACTCACCTTTTTGTTATCCTACCCTCAGGGAGGTGTTTGAACCAACAGTGGAGAGAGGTGAACTGGTGGTCAGGTACCACGTTCGCAAGTCTTACAGTCGTCGGACTACTGAAGCCACCTGTAAGTGAACCCATGAAGCCCAGTCTAGGTCTGGGGGCAATGAGTGTAGGAATCTGAGCTTTCTGGGCCTGTAGAAGGCAAAAGATTCAGAAAGTCTTGAAATACTAGAATCTTAGAACCACAGATTCTACGAATAATGGAATTGCAGAGCCACACAGAACATTATATTAATAGAACTTAGACATAAGATTCGTAGGATCTTAGTTGTTGTTTTTGTTAAGTGCTGTTGAGTTGGTTCTGACTCATAGCAACTCTATATAGGGTTTTCGAGGAGTGGCTGGTGGATTTGAACCACTGACCTTGTGGTTAGCACTCCAGCGCTTATCTTACAGCACCACATTAAGGACTCCGGGATCTTAGACAATATAATTAATGATGATGATGATGATGATGATAATTACAATAGCATTATGATAAGATGATGATGATGATGTGATTGGTGATGATGTTGAGATTATGATGGTAAATTGATGATGATGCTGTGTTTGGTGATGATGTTGA